CCAACTTAGTATCGTGACATTTCTATCCGTACTTACACAGGGTACGTCACTGGTGGTTGTTCATCCTTCTAATATCATAGTGGTGTGCAGCAATTTAGACTTGTTTTGTGCCAGTGCTGTTTGACTTCAAGCCAGGGCTAATGTGACCAACAGCATGTGGATCATACACAGAGCCTTGAAGTCCAGCACATGGGTCTCTTATGATCATTGCAAAATGCAGTGTGAGGAAGTGTGGGAGCAGGGAGCTACACTGGAGCTTGTAGCATCAGGTGAAGACACAGAAGGATCTGTCAGTCCTCACCGGAGTTTCACTGGCATTTTGTTTTTTCCTGGTTGACATCTATGCACTTTTCTACCTTGTTTTCAGTACAGAATAATTTGTCTTGTAAGCAAAATGCAAAAGATCAGGAGTTTCAGAATATGTCATTCCCCTGAGTGAGTATGGTGCCAGCTTCAGACTGTGTGTGATAGTAGGTCTTCTATGTGGTGCAGCAGGGAAAGCTGCAAAAATGGGACTATTTGGGAATAGACATAAGGTTAAGGATGAGGCTTTACCCCTTAGGAAAGAATTATTGGCAAGACTGTTGTCTGCTTCTTCCTCTTTCAGGTAGAATAATGGGAAGGTTGAGAAACAAGGATTTCATTCAAAATACAGATTTCAGCCTACAAAATATGAGGCTAGTCAAGGCCTCTCCTTGGCTCTCCTCCTGCTACATAGGTAGGGGCAGCAGAAAGATGGTTCAGCAACACCGTCAGAAGTGCAGCAGTCGGGTCTCCTTCACTCTGTTCTGCTTGTCATCCTCCTTTGGGGTTTATACATGCAAAAATCTTACTTTGTCCCCTTTAGCAGGCAGGTGTGAAACACCTGGGCCTATTGCAACTGCCTCGCATTTTAATTTGTGCAAGATTTAGCATGGGATACTGTTACATGAATTACAAGAGGAACTAAATTAATTCATAGCCAAGGGGGTAAAATTACTGCAAGGAAATAAAGAACCCTGAGACCTGAATATTTTTGCAAAATTGCCATCCTGAAAAAGAATCACTCTCCATTGAACTTTTCCACACAAAAAAAGGGTGAAAAGTGCTGTGAACAATCAGCTAGCTTGAAATAAATTTTAGAGACAAAGATAGAAAATGTTTAATTTTTTCATATTCATTTTACACACTCCTACATAATTATTAATCAAAGCTAGCAATGTTGCCTTTTCTCCTACATGACGTATTTTTTAAAATAGAACAAAGTACAAAACATGCAAGTCTATCTCCACAGCAGTGACTTTTTACTTGTTTAGAACGTGCGAGCATGGCAATTAAATCAAGTGTGATGTGTGGGTGGTTTTGATACCAGTTCTGCTCACACCTGTTACTTATAGCGGCCAGGCATGGTTTGCTATGCGTTGTCCTAGATTTTTTTTACCTGGTCCTTTATCACCAGCTGATAGTTTTCCAAAGCTAATTTACACTGTGTAAGGGCAAAGGGTATTTATAGAGCATTAAAAAATAATTACACACGATACTTTTTCCATTCTTATTGGGAATATCATGGATGAGGTGATTTCAGAGCTGGGACTGAGCTAAGATCAGCACCTCTTGGGTTTATGACTTGCCAGAAACCTCCTGAGCCAGTGAATCCATGTTTTAGTGGATCTAGAGTCTGAGGAGCTGCCAGGCAAGTCAGGGCTGCTAATGCTTGGAGCGTCCTGGCTGCACATGATTGCACACCCTAGAGAAGCCATAAGCAATTCAGCTTAAAGCAGTGATGAAAAGGGAGCACTGCTGTTTCTGAGCAGGGAGAAATCACTAATCTTACAGTGAGAATGGACATCCACAGGTCAGGACCAACCCCTTTTATTCCCTGACTGCTCAAGATGTTTAGCTCCCAAGGCTCCCTCCATAAACACTGGACTTAAATATGAGGAATCAGACCCTCTGCTGACATTGATTTTGGAAGGTCATCAAAGCAACTAACATCACACAAGAGCTTGGACGACCACAGGGCTTGTCAAAAGAGGTTACTGTGAACACCATTGACTATGTAAAGAGATGGAGGACTGCTCTTTTCACCTAGGCTAACTTTGAACTGTTACTTCTATACTTCTCAATAAGGAATAGAATCACAGAATCACACAGAATCACAGAATGGCTGAGGTTGGAAGGGACCTCCGGAGATCATCTAGTCCAACCGCTCTGCTCAAGCAGGGTCATCTAGAGCGTATTGCACAGGATCGCGTCCAGGCGGGTTTTGGATATCTCCAGCGAAGGAGACTCCACTACCTCTCCGGGCAACCTGTGCCAGCGCTCTGTCACCCTCACAGTGAAGAAGTTTTTTCTCAGGTTCAGATGGAACTGCCTGTGGTTCAGTTTGTGCCCGTTGCCTCTTGTCCTGTTGCTGGGCACCATGGAGAAGAGAATGGCCTCATCCTCTTGACACGCCCCCTTCAAATACTTGTACACGTTGATGAGATCGCCTCTCAATCTTCTCTCCTCCAGGCTGAACAGGCCCAGCTCTCGCAGCCTTTCTTCAGAGGAGAGGTGCTCCAGTGCCCTCATCATCTTTGTAGCCCTCCGCTGGACTCTCTCCAGTAGTGCCATGTCTCTCTTGGACTGGGGAGCCCAGAACTGGACACAGTACTCCAGATGTGGTGGCCTCCCCAGGGCTGAGTAGAGGGGCAGGATCACCTCCCTCCACCTGTTGGCAACACTCTGCCTAATGCACCCCAGGATACCACTGGCCCTCCTGGCCACAGGGGCACACTGCTGGCTCATGCTTAACTTGTTGTCCACCAGCACTCCCAGGTCCTTCTCGGCAGAGCTACTTTCCAGCAGGTCAGCCCCCAGCCTGTACTGGTGCATGGGGTTATTCCTCCCCGGGGGCAGCACCCTGCACTTGCCTTTGTTGAACTTCAGGAGGTTCCTCTCCGCCCACCTCTCCAGCCTGTCCAGGTCCCTCTGAATGGCAGCACAGTCTTCTGGTGTGTTAACCACTCCCCCCAGGTTAGTATCAGCAGCAAACTTGCTGAGGAGAGTGCACTCTATCCCTTCCTCCAGGTCATTGATGAATACATTGAACAAGACTGGACCCAGGACTGACCCCTGGGGGACACCAGTAGCCACACGCCTCCAACTTGACTCTGCACCATTCACCACAACCCTCTGAGCTTGGCCATCCAGCCAGTTCTCAATCCACCTCGCTGTCCAGTCATCCAACCCACACTTCCTGAGCTTACCTAGGAGGATGTGATGGGAGACAGTGTCAAAAGCCTTGCTGGCTTTATTGAATAATGATTTAGAAGTCATCTGTCTCACTCAGATACCTTTATTCATTTGTTTTATAAACATGGAGACATCTATGATTTTATTTTTGCCGTGGATCTTTGTTTAAGTCCCAGTTATGTTACTTTACAGCAGTCATATTCCAGGAGAAATTTAACAGAGGGAATAAGTTAGGAGTCAAGGCAGGAAGAGATCAGTTAGCAAGAACACAGGTATTTATGTTGCCTCTCCTAATTCTCATTTCTACATCATAACCAAATGTCTTATCCCTACCAGAAACGGATTCTAAGAAAGCTAGTTTCTAAGTGAATCCATAGCAAGGCAAGTTGTGCTGAGTATTTTTGCTGTCTAACGTGAATCACGCAGTTTTTATGTCTGCCTCTACAGCTCTTGTTAGCTATTCAACATCTTGGTCCCAGCTGCAGGTCAGATCAACAGTTACGCTGGACATCAAGCCTGTGCTATTCGAGTTGGACAAGAAGCTTCCTATTTACTCCAGTAAATGTGGGACCAGGGCCTGGAAAGCATCTGTATGCTGTAAAGCTGTTAATACTGCGCATGGCCACGCTGTGCTCTGTGAGACTTTCTAAAGCAGTGAAATTCTGCAGGACAGGAGCGCTCTGAATAATCTGTTATAGCTCTGGCAAAGAGAGCTCACTGGTAAAACAGTTTTTCTGCATAGCCCTTGGTTCAAGAAAAAATAGAAGTTTACTTTTCTCTTTAAAGTATAAAAAGATCTTGAAAAATACATTGATACTACACCTTAATCTTTGAAAGGAGGCAGACTTGTATTACTCATCTTCAGCAGAGATCTATATTTCTGTGGTGCAATGGGTGAAACATAGGAGAAAAAGTGAAGAGGAAGCCTATTTAGAAGCATTTCTCCTCTCTGGGGCCCTGACCTTGCCAAAGGATGTTCCCACTTAATCCCCAAAGTTTCCTCCAGTCTACCATTTTGTGCTCTTTACTGTCAGTTTGGGAATTGTCATACCACAGAGACGAGACCTTCAGAAATCATTAAACTCCCTCAGGAAATCATGATACTATTTTTGAAAAATGTATACACTTGGGACAATGTCCTTTGGCTTCTAAGCTCTAAAATATACTGGGGTAATTTTCCATATATTTCTCTATAATTACGAAAGCAAAATGCTTGCTTTAAAAAAATTATTCTCACATAGTGAAACAATATCCGGGGCTGGGACCCTATGAAAAATACAAAATATGAAAAATAGACTATCTAGAGCCAAGCAGAGAGAAAGTGGCAAAACTTGTGTATATGTACCAGACAACAAAAGTGTTAGATTACATTTGGGGGCTTCTGTGGACAGTGAATTACTGCAAGATAAATAATTCTAGTGATTAGTCATCAAAGAGGATCATCAGGAATGGCAAATATGACCTGAAGTGATTAAAAAAAAAGACAAAGCTGGAGAGGAGATGATTCTTCCATGCGTTGAAAGTTGTATAAAGTGGCAATACATTTTTGAGCTGAAAACCCCAGCAAAACCCAAACTTTGTACCACATGAGAAAGAAATGGTTTGTTTGAATAGTTTATGCATGTCTGAGTTATTAAAAGTTCCATGCAGAGGTGGTAGAAAAATGTTTGAAATTGAACCATGGATCTGATTCCATGGTTAACTGATTTCCTAAATAAATGAGAAAGGAAACAGGTTGCTGCAAGCTTCTACTCTCACTTCCTTGTGAGAGAAGACATAGACACTGTCCCAGAAAGGACGGGACCATTGTGTACACTCTTCTCAGGCAGTCATGGGTAACTGGGTGGAGAATGAAGGACTGTCCATCTTTGTTGTTGTAAGTACAATTTTTATTATGCTTTGTGTCTAGTAAAAAGTTCTACGGAAAATTTTAATAAGTAGATCTCATTGCGCCTGTGAGTGATGCAGCTGATTATTCTGAAACTAGGGCAGCAGACGTAGTTGCATTATACTTGACAAGTATAATTTTTAAGGAGCTCTAGCTGGAATCCTGATTGCTGTAGGCTGCATTGTCAGCTGAGAAATTATCATAAGTTAACTCTCATTTGCTTTGTTATAAATGCTTAAGTGTCTAGGTTTTTTGAAGCAATAATGACTTAAGGAAAAAAAATAGCATTACATCTCACTGTTAACTATTTGCATTTTGAAAGAGAAAAAAAAAAAACTAAAACAAGCCTTTCTTACACTTTTATAAACAAAAATGCATGTTACTGAGAGCACAGTGAACATTTCTTGGTAGCAGAAAATTTGTTTTTGTAGTCAAATTCCAGGATTTAGAGCAGAGATTCATGAATCTCTCATTAAGACAACCTATATTTGAACTGTGCTTGTATAGAGCTTGCATGGAGCTGCTACAAAACTGAGTTTGATTAGTTCCTGGCAGGATTTAAAAGTAATTGAAATCCCACTTACATTTAAAAGAGCTAAACCGTAAGGCAGATCTCCTCCTTGGAGAAAAGAAGTTAGTATTTCAGTATTCTTTTTTTCTTCACATTACAGTGCCTTGGGAAGAAATTAATGATATGAAAGTTATAGGTATTCAATATTGTGTAATAGCAAAATGTAAAACCAATTAAGGGATTGTTGTCAAGTGTGGTTAATTAGGTAGATACTGAGAGGAATAAAAAGAAGACATAGAACTACATTTGTGAAGACTGAATGTGAACATCTTTATTCGAAAATGTATTATTTCTCCTGCCACAAATGATGCTTACATATTACATTGTGGAAGCATAGCTCTAGTTTAGCCACACAACACTGACAGTTCAGTGCTTTGAAAGGGCTGTATTTGCTGACACCCAGTGACTTGAGGAAGTTGAAACTGCCAGGAGGTGAATTCTGCCACATTTTTCCCATCAGGACTGCAATATTAACTGAATTAAGTAAGAGCTTATTATTTTGTTCAAAAAAGGAATTGTGTACAGAATCTCAGAGCTATACGAGGTTAGCTAATACAGAGGGAAGGAAAATAAAGAAGTCACTGATAAAGAAACCAGCTAAGAGGACAGTTCATCAGAGGCCTTAAGAGAGTGTTCCGCATTGTCCATTACAAGTTTATAGTACATTCATTATCTACAGGGTGGCCCAGTGCTTGATAAAAACAGGACAGCCACAATTTTTATTATTTTCCTCAAAAAAATAGAAATAGTCTTGATTTTTTTTTTTTTGGCCTGACATGGCAGCCTTAGCCCTAACATATGCTGCCTCCACTGGCCCTAACCAAAGAGGTGGTAGCTGCTAACTCTGCAACTCAACCAAAGTTGTCACAGGGTGTCACAGTGTTTCTCAAGGGTTCCACATTCCTTATGAGTTAGCACCAAGAAGTGTGAGGCTTCATCATGGATCATGCCAAGCATCTCAGTCTTCTGGACATGCTGTCAGGCTACTGTAAATGGGAGTGGCACACTCTTACTTTAAATTTGCATCCTAAGCATTTTATCCTGAGCTGAGCTTAATTTTGAGGGTTTGTGGATTTCTCATATACTGACTTATGCTGTTGGAAATCCCTTCACTTCCCTGCCTTTACACCTTACAGGTGAGACATTTTCCAGATCTAAAATAATCCCAAGCTTTTTGCACTGTCAGCTGGGCCAAGAAACTAAGCGAGACTAGCACTTTAAACTTTGGGCTAAGAAGGGCAAAAGACTGTAGTGTCACAGTTTCTGTCAGCCTGAACTTAAAACCAGCGATTACAGGTCTACAGGTCTCATTCTTTGTCTCTTCCATCTTCACGCACCACCTAGTAAATCCCCTTAGAACAGAGGTGCAGTGATATAGATTGGTTTCACCGGGGGGTGTGAAGTCAGCCAACTATCTCCAGAAGGGCGCATGGCCCAATTCATTATGGTCTCTTGGGCTGGATGTGCTTGTAACTGCATTAGAGAGCTTCGAGAAGTGCTCATAAATTCTTTCCCTAAAGAAATCTGCCCTGTAGGCTGTGTAAGTACAAGAGAATATTGCAGCACAGCTACTAAGAAGCCCAGTTAGCCTAAACTCCACCAAAGTGCGTGTGTTGAATATTTCCTGCTGGCTGATTTCAGACCTTCAGAGGCTCCTACTCAATTGAAAACATTAAACTTGGGCCTTGGGTGTAATTTTGGCCATGTATATTTAGACCTCAACCTTCTTTGTCCTTTGGCACAGCTCCAAAGCTTGGCTTTGGCAGCTCCAAAGTCTTCCTCTTATATGGGTTAGTGTGTCTGAGGAATTCCCGTTAAGAAGAGGACCTAGCCTTTAAATGATTTTTAGAGACTCAGCTAAACTCACAGACTTAGCCAGATTCTTAGTTTATATAATCATATCATTTGAGCTATACAAAGGTTTCAGCTACCAGTTTTCATGCTGTGTTTTCTTGCCACTCCTGTACTCCCATGTATACACCTCAAAGCCTATTTCCACCAGTAAAATATATATTGTCCCTCCTGATCTCTTCACACCTTGAAGGGCACCTTTCTGTGTGAATAGGAATGCAACGCACTAATTGGTCATTTTCTGAACTGTGTAAATTGAGACATACAGTCTTTAACAACAAACTAAAGTTTCCTGTTTGCTTCTCTTTCAGCTTGTGTGGCTGGGGTTAAATGTCTTCCTCTTTTGGTGGTTCTATCTTGCATATGATCTCCCACCAAAATTCTTCTACACCAGAGTCCTCCTTGGCGTAAGTACAAAACATATATTATTTTGGCGTAGACTGAACATATAGCATTTTTTCCCTAGTTTTATTTGATTGAAACAGGATCAGGTTGTTGGAGTAGCAGGTTCAAGTAGGAGTTAAAAGTCACATGTAAACAGATAACTGAATAGAAAGATGTACAGTGCTTTTGAACAGAAAGTTGATATGTAACATAGAGAGATCCTCTTCTAAAGATGTCTTCAGGTAATTATCATGCTCCTAATAATTAAAGAAGTGAACTTATATTGTGGCTGCTCTATTTTTCAGGAGATGAATACAATATTTCCATTGGAATTACTGCGCAGTCACTTCCTCTTGCAATTATTCTTCTGTCATAGCATGAATAGGTTACGTAGTTATTAGCCCTGAAAAGCAATCATCATTCATGTATTTATCAAGTGTGCAGACAGTAGTCAAGAGAAATCCTGGATCCCAGCCTATTCAATATAATGCAACTGATTATATTGAGCACCATATGTTCTGCTATAAACTTGCTTCCAAAGGTAGCAAGGGTCAGGACTAATTGATGGAGAAAATTCATTTGTTCACATATTTTAAAAACCTGACCACAGACCCAAAAACCACTATCAGCTTTGAATTACAGAACACAGCATTTTGTAAGAAGTATGCAAATTCATGGTTTAACTCAATAAAGCTTGAAATCCTGTTCCTGTGTCTCACTTCAGATCTATGCATCAAATTCTGCTTTTTGTTATCAGAGTGCAATTGTTTTTGAAGTCACAAAGATCCGTGTGTGGGTAACCACAGCCCAGTGTAATCCCAAGTCAGTTAGGGGGGGCCTCCCCTGGAGTACTGTGTCCAGCCCTGGGCTCCCCAGTCCAAGAGAGACATGGCACTACTGGAGAGAGTCCAGCGGAGGGCTACAAAGATGATGAGGGGACTGGAGCCTCTCTCCTCTGAAGAAAGGCTGCGAGAGCTGGGCCTGTTCAGCCTGGAGAAGAGAAGACTGAGAGGCGATCTCATCAACGTGTACAAGTATTTGAAGGGAGGGTGTCAAGAGGATGAGGCCAGTCTCTTCTCCGTGGGGCCCAGCGACAGGACAAGAGGCAACGGGCACAAACTGAACCACAGGCAGTTCCATCTGAGCATAAGGAAAAACTTCTTTCCTGTGAGGGTGACAGAGCACTGGCACAGGTTGCCCGGAGAGGTTGTGGAGTCTCCTTCCCTGGAGATATCCAAAACCCGCCTGGACGCGATCCTGTGCAATATGCTCTAGGTGACCCTGCTTGAGCAGAGCGGTTGGACTAGATGATCTCCGGAGGTCCCTTCCAACCTCAGCCATTCTGTGATCTGAAACCTGGAAGGGTCCCAAACAATGCATGGAGAGCAAACATTATCATTTCCTTCCCTTTAGTGTGTTTGGGTTAATAGGGTCATTCTGCACTCCTTTTAAACATTCTTTGTCAAAATCTGAAATCATGCAGGATGTAAAGGTCAACATTAAGAGAATATATTCCTAAAAGATGAGGCAACTGATTTAGACTCCCTTTACTGACAACAGAGAGGCACAACAGAGTAAGAGCCCCAAGCGCTTCTGGAGCTAAAGGAACTTTTATGAACATGTCAAAGCTTCTGTTATATTGATGCTAGTTATAGGAAGGACAAATCTACGTTTCTAAAGAATTCTAAGTCTAGTCCTTTTACCTTTCTGAACATACAACCACTTCCTTCACAAGCTCTCCTTCCTTCTACCCCAAACCCTCAGCCATCTGAAGCTACAGCATTGAGACTGTTTTTATCGCCTTGGGATAGCCTACTAATGCCCTGGACTTGCTTCTGTGTTTGGCCCCAGTTGTCAGACATGACAGGGAGCTTTTCATAGAATTGTGTTATTCCATATAATTTCAAAACTGGAAATAGAAACAAGTTTTTATCTGGAGAAGTATGTTCTGTCTGCATGTGTCCCCCTGCCTTGGCCAGAGCATGACTGCCCTGAAATGTGAGCATCTTTAATTAACTTTCATTCTCACACTCATCAAAAATTGCGATATAATGCATAAATGAAATTTGTGCCTATCAGTCTCCTGGATATTGCTTGGGCAATTAATTTAATAATGACTTCTCTCCCATTACAGCGTGCTTTAGCTCTAGCAAGGGCTCCTGCAGCTTGTCTGAATTTCAACTGCATGCTGATTCTGCTGCCAGTATGTCGAAACTTGCTCTCCTTCCTCAGAGGATCAAGTGCGGTAAGATAAAGAAAGAATTTCAAAATTAATGAAAGAAGACCCAAGCAGCCTTGCACATGGGCCAAACAGTATAGTCTGAATTCCCCAAATATACCATACTTTGGGGATGTCCTTTTTAAAGAAGTAGACAAGACCGGAGTTTTGCTATGATCAAGAGTAGGGTCTATATGCTAACACATGTAGTGCTGTGGTCAAATATTGAGCCTCGATTTAGCCTTTTTCCAATCTTCCCTTTTTCACTTGCCTCCTGCGCAACATGATGTCTTACTTGGAAAGCCCTTCTTCTGGCGGGCAGCAACTGTTGGTCGTGCCTACACAAATTCTCTTCCATTTGTCTCTGATGTAACACCCGTTTATAGTGGGTGAAATTAGCCCAAGATTCCTGTCTTTGCAGGAGAAAAGACAGTTCGTAAAGAAAATATATTCTTTCACAAACATTTAGAATGGGACTTTCTTCAGCTGGGTCATGTTTTACAATCTTTCTCATTTGAGCTACATTTCCATCTCAGTTTGAAATAGTTCACAGGCCTTTTGACCATATCTAGCTCCCAAATGCAGATGTTATATATGGCACCTACACCGCCTGTACCACTAAGGAAAAGACAACTAATTCCACGCTAGGTGGCATGTGGAGTGGCCTGCCATGATAGCGCTGACCCTAACACATTGCTGAAGTCTAGATCTCTGGCTGTTACATAAGAAATAATGGAGAGAAAAAGATTAAATAATCTTATTGTGACGTAAGTAGAGAAAGGCTCCTATTCCATAGCTCTGATGATCAGGGCTCCAAAAAGGAATTACAAGTTGAAACTTTATTATTACCACAAAATGGATAAACCATAACAGCTGAAGGGACACTACTACCTTCTTTTTTCCATTCCGTCCTGTTGCCTCATTTCTATCTATACCACAGTTACTCCATTCCCGTCAAGCACTAGAAAGCCACTCTTTTGCCATACTATGGTTCAATGAAAATGAAATACTCTCCTCAAGCTGATGAAACTTTTCTTCAAATGTATTGTGATTTCCCCCTTCCTTTCCATCCTCTTTAACATGCACAGGGTCAACAACACTGCTTAAGGGAGTTGGTTTTCATCTGTAAATCTAGTACAAATTTCTTTCACACAAACAACACAGCCCTATGAGGGCTGAAAGATCAGAACAAAAGAGTTACCTGCTATTCAGGAGTCTTCCATATGGGAGAAGTGTGGGTTAGAAGGTTAAAAAAAAAAAAAATAGAAACAACCCAGGTCGTACATCCTTCCAGTACATATAGCCTGACAATCAATGTGGCTGAATAAATGAGATGTGTCTGCTACATTAATCTCCTAAATTGTATTTCCAATGCTGTCAGAAGTGCCCCAGCCTTTTTAAGGCTTAGTGCTTAAAAATATAAAGCTGGAACTACACAGACCAGGCTTTGTGCCTTGTTCTATACCCCCTCAGGTTTTGGGATGCTACAAAAGGAGCCAACCTTACCCCCCAATATATAAAAGAGAAAAGAATAGCAAGTAAAACTGTAGGGTCAAACTTGAACTTGCGCTGCCCTGGGAAAGATTAACTAATATTTGCCAAAATTCAAAGCTGACTCCGCAGGGGGCAGACATCAATTATGAAAGTAAAGTCTGTAAGAAATAATGTTGTTATTGGACCAATGCAACTGGAAAACAACGAGCTTTTGGACACACGAAGCCTTCATGAGGTCTGAAACAGATTCCACAGGCGTCGAGCTGAAGGCAGATTGGGAAGAGGGGTTCAAAGGTCAAAGTAACAATAGTGTTTTGAAGGAGCTAGAGGCAATTTCAAGTAAGTTACTGGAAGGCTAAAAGCTGATTCCAAGAGTAGAGAATTGTGTCCTAACAGGGACTTTATGCTACTTGCCCTGAATTGCTCATTTCCTAAAATCGATGGTTTAATGTTTCTAATCAGGGTAGCTATGAAGCTATCCCTCTTCTCTTAGAGGAGCTTCTCTTACTCAAGCTGCAGAGTAAATCCTCCTTCCCCTGGCACTGTGATATGCTCACTCAGGCTACGCCCAGTTTGCAAGAGAGAGCCACGTAGAGAGCTACGGCTTCATTTCTGCTGACTCCCTGCAGCTCACTATCTTGCTGACAGCGTGAGGCTGTATGAGGAAGCAAAAGGCTCTGTGGATGAGCAGGAAGTGAGGGAGGGGCATAAAATAGGATTGTTAGACAGCTGAAGTTCGTTTGACTTCAGTTGCTCTTTGTAATAAAGCTATACCCCAGGAAGGAGGAAATTTTATATCTTAGGCAAAACATGCACAGCCCCATGTTCCAGTAGTGGTGTCAGGACTGTGGGCAGGGATACAGCTGCTTTTGCTCATTCCACAGTTGTCTCTAATTAGCTCTGCTTTGAAAGTAAAAACCTATGAGGATCTCTAAAAGATCAGGATTTTTATATGTCACATAACTTATTCAAAGGGTGGTGACCTTTCCAGCAGCAACGTCATTGGGGTTAGGGAGATGGGAGAATTGTTCAAAGCAGTTGTTCAACAACAGTGCGCTGGAAACACCTGCCTTTACATCCTGCCACCCAAAAATCATACACTGCAAACTTATTTATTATTAATTGAAATAACAGCTGTATTGTTTTTGCATGCCCTTTATTGCTGCATTCGTTGCTGCTGTTAAGTGAGCCTCACTACTGAATCTAGCTGCAGCATTTTGCCATTGCTTTGCCACATGCTTCTTAAACAGCAAGCTCAAGTGTCCCTACATACTGTTTCCAGGGCAGTCAGGTAGGAGCAACACTTTTTTGCTACGCTGCAATTTATTCTATAGGCTTTTCAATTACATCTCAAGGTACAAGATACAAAGAAGCCCAAATCTCTCCTGGCTGTTTTTATAGTCTACTGAAGTCATTGAGATAGCACCTGAGTGTGATAGTTTGCTCTTTAATCAGTGTCATAGCCAGAAAATAGCCAACGGGATCTGCTTCCTCATATATTTATTGATATAGTTAATATTCATGAGATATTTAGAAAAGGGCTGTAATGGATGAGCAAGGTCACTGCTCGTGTACCTCCATGGCATAAAGAAGAGTGAATTAGAAATGAATTTGTTCTGGAGGTTTTTATCATCTCTTCTTCTGTTTTGTTGCTGGATGGTTGGGATGATCCATCCTACCCTATTAGCTGGGATGATTAATTACCTTTCCCTGCCATCTACAAAGTCCATGTCTGGCAGACACTTCAAAAACACTTTGGTTTCCCTTAATTTGTTGTGAGAAACATCTAAGTGGTTTCTGTGTGTAAACGTTGTATTAGTTTACATAATGTTTTCTTCCCTTTGCCAGTCATGAAAATCAATGTAAGGATACAATACAGGATAATTATAGTTTCTAGTCTATGGAGCCCGCAAATTAGCATTACAAGAATTTAAAGCAACAGGATAACTCCCACTGACTACAGTACAATTCTGATGGAGCCTCTTAGGCACCCATCATAACTGTTAATGACAGTATCATTCCATTTTTCTTAAGAGCCAAGTTCTTCAGTTTGTATTAGCAGAGACTTTTTCATTCTGTTTCTCCTGGGTAACTCCAGTAACAAGTCATAAGTGTATTTCAGGCAAGTATACTCAGCTTTTGGGGGAAGGAATCACTTCATAGGATCATAAGTCACTCCCATGTTTGGGGTGGAAGCTCACTGAGACAGTTATACCCAAGCAGTGCTGTTCACTTCTACAGTGTGAACTACAACAGTATCCTAATGCTAGCTGGCAATTCTAGACACTACCAAAATACAAGGAAAGATCATTAACAGTCACCTTACCACGACAGAGACTGATATTTCCCTTTGTTCATTTCATGTAACATAAATTTAACACAGAAAAGATAACTACTTTTGCCATACTGTATTTGAAGTTTTCTCTCATGATCAAATAATTTGTTTCGGGGGATATGTTAAACAGGAGCTGGTATTACTGTGTTCTGAAGAGTGGAGTGAAATATTTCTGTGTATATTTTGGCATTCTAAATCTTTACCAGCAGTGCTATCCATTGCTGAGCTCAGGGCTGCTGTTTTTTCCTACATTTAAGTAACTATGCATGGGCATCACAAATAGTCTGCAAATACTTTTTTCTTCAAATCCAAAGTGCTGCTCAACCCGTGTCCGACGACAGCTGGACAGGAACCTCACGTTTCACAAAATGGTGGCATGGATGATCGCCCTTCATACTGGTTGGTACTCAAATGTTGCTTTGTTCATGGCTTTTTCACGTCACCTTACACAGTATCCAAGTGGGATTCAAGTCATAAGGATATGGGCAGAGACCTGATTTCATTATCCTAAAGGAGAGCCAAGGATTAGGTCAGTTTCCAAATAATATTCTGTACCTAGCAGAGAGCAAAACATAAACAAGAAAGGATACCTTTCTGTTGCACTGTTAACACCATTCAGGTTACTGCTTAATAAAGGGTATTTAGCAATGCCATGAGAACCAGATATCCAGCCTTTAGAACCAGATATCCAGCCTTTAACTCTTGTTTAGACTTATTTGCTAGCTGGCAGATCTGAAACAAATCATAGAAATGATGAAAGAAAAGTGTATAAAAACCATGGACAAGGCATCCATTTTTTCTTTGTATTTTATCTCTCATTATGTAAACAAAAGTTTTCTATCATTTTTGCAACAAATTTTTCACCTCTCTGTCCACGTACCTTACAAATTATATATCCTAGAATAGTCTTGATAACATCGGTGGGCTACTGGAGCTGAGCAGGTTCCCTTCCTAAGTTGTGACTGTCATCTTGCTACCACTGCATAGGAAGGAATAGCGTGATTCCGTTATAGATGTTAGGCCACAGAAGAGGTCTGCAGCAGAGCTGAGTTGTTCAGCGGTGGGAGACCTGTCCCCTTCAGGCCTTGAATTTATTCCCCTTGAAGGTGAATAAGTATACAGTGATACAAAAGTGGAAACATTTTGAGAAGTATTGTATGGCTGACTCTTGTAATAATATGTGCTGGAAATAGCGTGAAACACCTCAGTTAGTTATACTAGATTTATAGACGAGTCCAGCTCAGCAAAACATTAATAGTGATTATTATCAATGCAGCGGAGGAAAGAAACACTAGCAAATTTGACACCAAAGAGATCCAGATTCATTTATTGACTCCTCTACAGAATTCCTGTTTGATCCAGACAATCACTTGAGCCATCCCATGCTTCAGTTTCTCACCTACAAAATTAGGGTATCGCTCTGCCATTTGAATCATTTTCTTGAACAATGACGTGCTGGAAACTTCTTCTCTTCACAGCCTGCCACCCAAAAAGATATAATCTGCAGATGGTAATGCTATGACAATAAAACATGTCAGCAATCTTAAACTGTCGTTAAGAGGGTAGTGTAAGAGAGGGAGTGTGCAAAGGTTTTAAGCTGCCTTTAACAAATATTACAAAGTTTAAAATGTTCCTAAAAACATTGAGTACTTCTCTTGTGCTTAAAACTGATTCTCTATTTCCTGTCACTCCTAGCAATTCACACCATCGCACACTTGTTCAATGTAGAGTGGAGTGTGCAAGCACGTGTTGAAGAAAAAGGCACTCTGGCAGCTGTACTCTCTAGCCTTGGTGATAACCCAAATGAAAGCTATTTGAACTTTGTTAGAAAAACTATTCCGGTAAGTGACTTGAGGCTGTGAAGAATCACTGAAGAATCACACTCATCTATACCATCATATAAGATTATCTGAGCTGAATGTCTAGTTCTGGTGTGCACAACGTGTGTTTGAATCACGTTGCAAGAAAACCTTGTGCAATGCGTTCTTCTATATTTGCCAGTAATATTGTTGCTGAATTTCAGCAATGCTTTAAACTTTTTCACCTTAAGATTTCAAAGTAGTTTTAAAATATTTCTTAAAAACAAATAGCCTATAAGGAAGCCTTCTGACTAAGGTAAATGTGAGGCACACAGAAATCAGGGCAACGGTTTTGAACTTCAGCTCCTTAGTATTAAGATCTGGTTAAAAAACAAAAAAGAAATCTCCACGCTCTTCAGAAGCACTGTGTGTCCAATGTCTTTATGAGTTATGAGAGCCACAGGTGCATAACGCCACTGAGGAGGAGAGCTTTTATTTAGATGCCTAAATATGGCTGTAGGACTTCAGCTCAAGTAGCAAAAGTGTTCACTTTCCTCAGTTTCCCCAGTTCAGTACTGCTGAACAGTGGCAGTCAAAAACAATCTTTGGTGCCTGAATAGGTGGAAATCCCTTTCTATTTCCACTTAACTTAGTAAGAGTAAATTTGCGGTGCAACAGGCACGGAGCGGGGTTTCCCGAAGCATTTTTGGCATGTAAACTCATAGAGGATGACTTAGAGACTTGAAACAAGGTAACAGATTTGGAAGTAAGACGGACTAATGGTTCAGCTGGCTCAGCTTTGATGCATTCCTTTTCTTAGACCAATGTGTACAATTACTTCACAGAATCCTGTGGGGGGCCTATATGTGGCTTTCACGTACTTGGCTGGTCTCACTGGCGTAATCATTACACTGGCGCTCATACTGATCATCACGTCATCCACCAAAACCATCCGAAGGTCATATTTCGAAGTATTTTGGTACACCCACCATCTCTTTGTCATCTTCTTTATTGGTCTTGTCATCCACGGTGCTGGGTGAGTATTTGCACTTTACCACACGATATGTGATAATGATTATCTTAATCTGAAGCCCTCCATACACAGAAGTATAGTGATTTCAGTCATTAGCAGTTATATTTGATGGTGATGGTGGGCCAATACCATAGGCTCTCAGTGGTACAGGCATGAGGCTTTATGAGAATCAGGCATATTCGTAACTCATTGATACTCATCTTTTCTGATATTTAATTGAAAATCTTTTTTTCAAGGTTCCTGTTTCTACTTAACTTATCTTTGTGTCCTAAAAGGAATTGCATCACGCACATGTACACAAGTCATTCCATAAAAATAACACAGGGCCTATGATTTGGTTGGATTAATGATAACTACAACGAGGGTTTATCCTTCAGAGTTGGAGGGCTTTTAATGTCAGAATCATCTTCAGAATAGATTTTTAGCTGTTGCAGCTCAAATGTAGGCAAATGTAAGTTTTTGTAACTTCCAAATGCCAAACATCTTTTTCCACTGTTGGTTCATTCCATACCTTCAATACCTCCAATTAGCTGAAAAGCCTATTGAAACAATTTTAGCACTATGAAAATGCAATTTTAGTACGTAGGAAAATGAATCTTAGTTACTTTTTATAAAACCACAGAACCGATGCACAGAGAAAAAGGAAAAATACCTAACATACCCAAGCCAGATTCCATAGTTCATAGTTGTATGCAACATTTAAAAGGAAATTCTCAGTGTTATATCCTTAAAAAAAAAAAAATTGAGGACCCAGAGCATGCCAAAGCATGCTTTAAAAATGCTTTGTAAAAAATGACTATTCAAAAACACTTCCTCTTAGTCCAGTAGTGTCAGAAAAAAGACAGAAACAAGATTACAACAGCAAGAGCAAAACCAGAAGGCAGATGAGGGTCACTACCAGTATATTTTTCAACTTCCAAAACAGAAGGAGAATGTTGGAGCAAAACCTGCTGAAGGAAAAGGACAACTGGTTCTCGTTTCCTGCAGCAAATATTCTATGATTACCAATAAAATGTCCTAACTTGTCAGCAGTTACATGCATCATACGATCAGAAAGCAAGCATTGCTCTTTCCTTAATAACTAGCTGTCAGTGAGTAGCATATATTTCATAAAAGCTGGCTTTTTATTTACTCGGATGTTCACTATACTCTCACCATTTTAGCTGCATTGTACTGAACAGACAAAAGTTTGGGCAGCAGCGGGGATCAACACAGCTGTTAGTGAAGTTCAGCAATCCTGTGAATGGAGATAAAACCAGGAATATTGCCATCTGTTGTGGAAAGGATTATTTCTGACAATTAACTCAAGGTGACAGGAATCACAGGCACATATGTGATGCTAGATCAGTTTGAACAAAGATAATTCCATCATATTTGGCCTTAAAAGCAAGACTGACATTTTGAGTTTAGAGAAAATGATAATATACAAAAACAGCCTTGAGGCTTTTCACCCTCAAGGAAGGCGTCTCGGATGTGTGAACATAGATGCTATGGGAGAAGCGTGATCTGACTTTCTTAAAGTAGTGTGACTGAGAGAAGGCACAGATGTCATTGTATCTCAGGAGACAAACAGCTGTGTGTTATTTATATGTATATACAAATGTGTATATATATATATATATTTTATATATATATGTATGTATATATACACATATATTTATATATACAAAAACAGAATCAAAGATAGTTACTAGAATGAAGAGGGAAGATTCTTTTCCAGTACAAGCTGTTAATAGCACTTTTGTAGCACTGACTTTTTTTGGTGCATGAGTGATGTCACAGACGAAAGTCCTAAACCTCCCATCACAGTAAGTGCAAAGAGGAAAGAGTACAGAGACATTTTGCAAGTGAAAAGTAAAGTTTTCAGCAGAAAGAGAAGTAGCTAGAAGCCTAAACTACTGACAGCTTAGTTACAGTACTGGAAGAGCTTCTACACTTAGTAGTAAGGGAATAAGAGTCTCCTTTTTCACAGGGTACCTTCGTTGCCAAACCTTGAACTGGGGTGAAAGGCAAGGCAAAAATCACCACGCTCCTTTTTTCCCCTCAGAGATGGGGTAGGAGTGGCAGAAAACAGGCAGAAGATGGGCTCCTACTGTTCCCACAACTCACCCCACAGGGTGGCTCAGCTGAGCCAGTTGTCACTAGTGGGGAAGTAAATTGCAGCTGGTGATGCTCCTGCAAATTGCAACTCATGATGCTCCTGGGATAGTGTCTTTCCTTCCTTTCTTTTTTCAGACAGGATGTTAATCAAAGCATTAGTGATGAAGAGGTTCATTAGCAATATTTAGTAATCTATTTTAACTTCTAAGATTGTGCACAGACATTCTAATAGTCCTCTGATCTATTTGTCACAAAGCTAGGCATATATATGACTCAGATAGCATGTTTCTTCGAAACATGAAGTGAAAGACCGTCAGGTTTAAGAAACCCAGCTTGAAAATCAGAGAAGTCATGGGAAGAAGATATCGACAGAATCATATTGGCATAAAACTGACTAAAATCAAACCCTGTTTCCAGGGAAGGGCAGCAGATCTGATTCTGATTTTCTCTACTATAACCCTGACCCTAATAATTACCCTCCTTTGGGGGATTCTTACACTCCCTTGAGGTTGGAAGAACTCCACACAGGGGCAGGAAACCGTGAACAAGTTCAGGATATATTTTTCCTTAAAAAATTGAAATTTTTTTTCAACATTAGTTCTGCCACTAGTAACACAGCAGAACTGCAGCAATCAGGTTTCTCTAAAAACAAAAATGCAAAAACACAGAGGCGGATCATCAGCTGACATAAGCTGGCTCCGCTGAGTAAGATGTATCTGTGTTCACACTACCTGAACATCTACTCTACTACACCTTTAAAGGGAGAGGAAGGGTTAAAGGTCATTGGAAAGGGCTATCCAGAATGTCTATGATAAATAACAGAAATAATTTCTGTACTGATCACTAGGAAATTGATTTTCTTACCCATTCCATGTGTTGGTTTTACTGAAGAAAAGAAGGAGAATTCCTACTGTGACCATATTCTGGAAACGGTAGTGAACATACCTCTCAGTTCCTCACCTGGTCTTTGTAGTCAGTGTTTTTTTCCTACAAACTTTCCTCCTCATTTTTAGCATTTGAATAGCAGTTCCGTGATTTGATCAGCGCAGTAAGGCTGTTTCGAAAGGGACATTACCACTGCAGAAGAACATAACTGCATGAGTAACGTACATAGCCTAGCTTAGCAATAAGTAACTGTAGTACGTAACAATAAATAATATTATGTCAGACATTTCATTTCCATGTCATTTGCTTAATGTTTGGTATTATTTTCAGGCGTATTGTACGGGGACAGACAGCTGAGAGTCTGGCTGAACATAATCCAGACATTTGCGCTAAGAACTTCACTGACTGGGGGAAAAAGGGTGCTTGTCCAATCCCCCAATTTTCAGGGAATCCTCCTATGGTAAGAACAATCGCTTTGAGCATAAATCCAATCAAAAATATTTCCAGTTCACTCGTTTTGTTAAATAGCATGTAGGCAGGCTGTAAAAAAGCAGCTATGTAACCTTCAATGCTCTTCAGAGGCAACTTTATATAAAGCAATAGATTTCAATACAACAAACTGCAAGCAGAAATGGACTGGAGACAGAAAAACCACTTCCAGTGTCCAAAATATCTCATAAAATGAAAATAGTTAATAGCAAAGCAAAAGAGTAAATCCTATCTGAGAACTGCTTACCAAAATGCATTTTGTGGCTTGTGGGCACTTCTAGAAACTGCCATAATCCACATAATAAGTAGTTTCACATTATTAATGAACTGATGTTAATTAAGAGAAAATAAATGCCTCTGGAAATGTGACACTGACACTTCCGTTCTCAGGGATTAACCCGGCTGGTTGTTCACACTACAGCCAGACATATTGACAGAAACTACATCTTTTCCTGCAGTAATACAGACCTGAGTCAATAACACAGTCAAAGCTTTACTCCACTTTTCTCTTAGGTGCCTCATTTTTAGACAGAGACAAAATCAGTCATAGGAGAATACATTTCTATAACTAACCTACTTTGTGAGAGCAATTATAAATCCTACTATAACTCTCAATAGAAAAAGAAATTCCCTCTCTGAGCAGAAGTCATTTCAAAAGTTTCATACCTTCTTTGGGTTCCCTACTCTGGTTGATAAAGAACCTAGATTTCTTAAACTTAATATCCATTCATACCATTTCCAAGAGTCAGTTTAATGTAAATTGCCATCTTCCTCATTTCACTTCTCATTTTCTTCTGTTACAGACATGGAAATGGGTAGTAGGTCCTATGTTTTTGTACCTGTGTGAGAGGTTGGTGCGGTTTTGGAGATCACAGCAGAAGGTTGTTATCACAAAGGTATGTGTTGATGCTGTGCTTAACACTGGGCAAAACAGTACTGATTTTTTTCAGATACAATATGGTGCAGCAAAGCCAGTGATTCCTACACACCATACAAAGTTATCAGGAAAAGAACCCTCAAGAAGTGTTTTGTTATCATGCAGAAATAGTACTGCTTCCTAACATATAAATATGGCTGTCTCTAAGCCCCAAATTCAGATGCTATGTCGTTCCCAAATTAAAATAGCGCAAGAGGACAAAGTTAGCTAGACTCAGGACTGAATCTCAGGAGGGAGAGATCAATTTTCTTTGTGATCTAGGGAAAAAATACACCAAGTAGGAATTCCACGGCCTTAAGAGTAACTTAAGATAACAAATATTTATTTTCAAAAGCTGCCTGGACATTTAGGAATCTTGATTTTCCAGCAGACATAATGACTCCTAAAAAGGAGACTTAGCCGGGTGTCTATTTTCTGTAGCCAAAGCTAATATTGAGCTTAAGTAGTAGGTCTCTACTACTGGTGTATTGAAGAGATATTAATGCTGATTCTGAATGTATTTTAGCCAAAATAGCATGGCACTATGCTGAAACACATAAAACCTACCCTGGCCTTTCCTATTTAATTTCCTCACATGGCATTATGCTGCATCTCATGGGCATACCCTGTTCAAGTCAGAGTCAGTTTGGGGCATGAAGTAGATATCTCTACTGTTCCCTGGAATTACGTTAACATGTTGGTAGGCTCCTATATACCAGCATGCTTTCTGGTAATTTTGGTAATTTGGTAATTTTACCAAAATATCTCTGTGCCATTTCCACACCATTTGTCTGTTGTGTCTGCTTAGTTTCTTCTTGGCTGGAAACTTCTTCCACAATGGTGAGCATTAATATTGATATCTAAATAAATGGACAGGCGGACTCAATTCTCCCTCTTGTAAATCTCTTCTGAAAACTGAAAATAACCTTGGCAGACAACCTTAGAACTAAATGATTGTAGTGACTGAAATACTAGCCTTGCTTTCAGCAGATTGCTTCTATTTATTCCTGACTAAAATAGGCACAATGCAAATGCCTGCAGTATACTGCTCATCCCAATACAACAAGAAAATTTCAGTTTCCGGTGGTACTATCTATCCATCCAATTCCACATCTGTATGCTGGCCCTATATTTTTGCCACCATATATACATCCATTTCATTAGCAATGTGTACTATGCCACTGTGTCAGGTGCATCTGGAATTAATAACGTGCATACACAGATCTGAGGATGTGTTAGATGTGCCAGTCTGACCTGTCCCTTTTGGAGCAACTGCAAGTACAGTGTGAAAATACTTTCACAAAAATTCAGCATCTTCTGTAGTCTCTTATCTGGCTCTCAGATGCTATTCCTCACTCTGTCCCAGTTCTGCTGGAAGCAAAGTTTCACCTCCTTTCCTTGCTCCTGCAGGAGAGGATGATGATGTTAGTGATGAAGGATGTAAAGACATCAAGTGAACAGTGGCAACAGCTGTCTTCTTTTCTCTCCTTGTCTCTCTCATTGTAGGTGGTCATTCATCCCTTCAAGACAATTGAGCTCCAGATGATGAAGAAGGGCTTCAAGATGGAGGTTGGGCAATACATTTTTGTCAAATGTCCTGCAGTGTCTAAACTGGAATGGCATCCATTCACACTGACCTCTGCTCCAGAGGAGGATTACTTCAGCATTCATGTCCGTATTGTAGGGGATTGGACAGAGGGCTTGTTTAATGCCTGTGGATGTGATAAGCAAGAATTCCAGGAAGCATGGAAGTTGCCCAAGTATGTACAAAGAATCTCCATGGTAAAATCAACCAACATCTATGACACTAAAAATTTTGCTCAACCAATTTGGTGGAACCTGTGACACAGTCCTTAACTCTTTCCGTTGCGGATACTGGTGACCATCTATTCCTTCAAGTCACTCCCCCCTCAAAACTATAAACTTTAAATGCATGTTTTAGCTATTTCAGGCAGGGTATTTTTGAGCAACTGAACATGAGTGATTTTTTCCTTCCGGATTTTTTGAGTGAGTCTCTGTAAAGAAAATCAGGAAATTTTTGTTCAATTCCAGATCTTTTGTTCTACTGTTAGCTCCAGATCTGGCCTTATATCTGCAGCAAAAGAGATATAATCTCTCGTATCTCCTACTGTTTGAGGAGAACTCAATGCTGCACAACGCCAGGGAAACAAAGTCTTGAACAGATGGGGTTACTGGAGGGAAAAAAGTTCCTGTATGACCAACTTCACAGGCACGAATCAGAATGAGTCCTAGACTGCTCTTTCCAGTTCCCTCTTCTTATCAACACCACCTCTTCTTTTACCAACTAGTATTTAGCCCAAATGTGCATCATAATGGACAAATACCTTACATTGTTATTGTTATTTTAAAAAGCACTAATAAATATTCTCCTCACTATTGATTTATTAACTATACTTTCAATTTTAGGATAGCTGTGGATGGTCCCTTTGGAACAGCTAGTGAGGACGTATTCAGTTATGAAACTGTTATGCTTGTTGGAGCTGGAATAGGGGTCACTCCATTTGCATCTGTTCTCAAGTCTGTCTGGTACAAGTACTGCCATGATGCAACCAACCTGAAACTCAAAAAGGTACACGTGCACTGTGTTATAGAACTGTACGAGAACCCAAGCAACCTTTTCAGGGCCTATAGCCCAGATCAAAACAGGCCCAGCAAAAGTGGTCTGGCTCCAGACGTGAGTCCTGAGAGAAAAGTCCAGTTATCTCAAAGACTAGCAAGCAAAGAAGCAGGAGGGTCAAAAGGAAAAAAAAAAGAGAAATAGCCTGAGGCCCAAATCATGCATGCAAATACTGACTGTGGCTCTGGGGATTTCCACATGCAGTGGAGACACCATTCAAGCTGTGCAGGAAACATAAAGACCTGTCATACTTTCAGGAGCCTAACTGCACCCAGACAAATATTGCACTCCTTCACTACACGCAGAGAGAGCAACTTTGAGTCAGTGGAACCCCACTGCTACCCATCTTTCTCTTGCCTCCTGGCCCTGGAAACTCCCTGTGCACAGGTGTAGGGTTACACTCTCCACTTATGGTCATATTCACATTTCTGCTAGAAAACAGAACTGGTTTTGTCACCTCTTTTAATTTACCGTTCCTGCCAGCAGATAGGGCGGTAGAATCTACCTGTAAGTCATTTATTTTATGTCCTAACAAGCTGTTTTACAAGTATATCAGCGCAGAAACATCAATAGAATAGAAAGTTGTTTCCTTGTTCTTGCAGTCACGTATTTTGCTTCCCAACCCTCCCAGCATCTAAACTCTTGAGTAGCTTCAATACTAGCTTGTCTCCCCGTCAACTGAAGTGGTCAGAGCAATTTTTCTACAGAAACTCTGCAATCCTCATTTTGTTGGCAAACACAAAACCAGAATCCATAAGTGCGTATGTACCCTGAGCCTCACTCTTGTCTCTTCCAGATCTATTTTTACTGGCTTTGCAGGGACACTCATGCCTTTGAATGGTTTGCTGACCTCTTGCAGTCTCTGGAGACTCAAATGCAGGAGAGGAATAACGCAGAATTTCTCAGCTACAACATCTACCTTACAGGCTGGGATGAATCTCAGGTAACAGCACTGTGGAAAATGTCACAACGTTCATGCTAGCAAGCTTGTTATATTTTGATAAATACTCAAATGGTCATTTTCCTGTGATTGATCTGGCTCAAAGCTTTTAAATGCGCAAGTGGATGGGCATTGACAGAGGAAGAGTCTTCTGCAAATGTTGATAATTTCCATATCATTAAAGAAGAACTCCTGGTGTGATAGCTGTTTAAAAAAATAGGCAATTAAAACAACATTCCCCTGAATGGGGTGGGGATAGAACCACAGTGGCAATGTAGGAATGCCTACATTACATTGTGTAATGTCTGCACTGTTCTCTGCCCCCCCTCACGTCTCAGAGTACCTGGTTTAAAAGATTTGGTTCATGCTGCCATACAAAGCTTTGGGTTTGCCACCAATGTTCAGCCTAAATTATTGTGGAAGTGGTATGGTGGATGAAAAATCAGTCACTAGGAGTGGTGAAACTCCAAGAGTGCTCTGTAGTGGTCCCCTCCTGTGGATGCAGAGCACCTCTGGTTAATTCTGGCAGAGCTGGGATCAGCTCTTCTCCTTCCTAAGGGAGACCAGCACAATCAGTATAGTGCTTTGCAGGTAAAACTGGTGAGAATTGCACAAGAGAAGTAGAACTACATATCATGACTGGGAAATACTCTGATTCTTTCCTTCCTTCCTTCTCTCTAATGAACCACTGAGCTAAGTAGTGCAAATGGGAAACTTGACCAAGAAGGGAAGGATGTTAAGAATTGTATTTTGAGAATAAATGTGGTAGGTTAAATCCCAATACGGATGTAGCCTTCCCGGACCCAGACCAAAATTATGAACAGTTCCATGTTCCAGTGTCCAGCTGTAGGCCTGAGAACAGATCTGCAGCCATGACTTGACTTGGAAAATAAAATGCTACTCAGCAACTGCAGCAGTATTGCTGTTGCTGCCTCCTTTAAGAAAGAGAGACATTTCACTAGCAAAGAGCTGTTTCCTCTGTGAAGAGAAAACTCTGGTTTCAGCTTTACACTTGTGGCAAAAGAGCACATGTTTCACATTCTCTTTCCCATACCGGTACTGGGTGAGAGCATTCCTCTTTCTCCTTTACAAAAACAGTAACAGCATTAAAGAGAGTATTTCTCAAGCTTACCAAGGATAAGGAGCCAGGGGGTCATTCTTCCCCCCCTTCATCTGAACTTGCATGAGTTCAGCTGGTAATATGCCCTGAAATTTCCTTTCTGGCTGTTCTCTCAAAAAGCAGTCTTTCCTCACAGCATCAGCCTCAGCTGAATCTGCAAGTATCTCTAAGACAGCTAATACTGCTTAAAGCAGAACTGATGGCGCTAGGGACTGGAGAAGCTAACACACAAGCCTTGAGTGATGGCAGTTTCAGGGCTTTCATGTGTCATCTAGATATTCCCATGCATGAAGGTCATTGTAGGGATACAAAAGGCCAGATCTTTCATGACCCACTTCAGAGTGTGTGATTCAGCCAGGAAAGATGCTCACTCTATTACTTTTAGTTATGTTTCCTTCTACTTAAGTCTTACCTTTGCAAAATTCACCATGTGCATAAAGTGCTGTAGCTTAGCGACATGGTAGGGAGGGCTGGTAGTAAGGTAGGAAGTTATCACGCGCACCCACACAAACACACACTGGAAAAACAGGAAGGAGCGAAGAAAAGTCACACAATTCTTTCTCTGGGAGAAAGTTACTCCTCCAACTCTTTTTGGTATATAAAAGTGCTGCAGAACTAAATACAGACCTTTCCAGTGAGCTCTGCAAGACCTGAACTTATGCTTTTACCCATATCTTCTCCTCTCCCTGTCTCTACTTAGCCTTGCTGGTCTAGGTGGAATTTACACAAGGAGGACAGACAAAACCTATTCATATGGATCAGTCCTTCTAGAAATAAAACAGGTGGGATGTCATTAAGGTCAAGAGGGTTGTATTATTGTAACTGACAGGGAACTTTTGTCCTAGTTTACAGCTTCTTTTCACAGCTCTTAGACTAAAACAGTTCACTGTAAAAGAAATGTAATTGCTGTGTTTAATACTTCATAGCTTTAATTCTTGAGATTGGCCAGTTTGGGAGAATGGGGAAGATAGAGACTGCTTGTCAGTTTACCAATGTTAGCTATCCCTTTCAACCACAATCAGTTCCCAGGAACATTCTTGGTTTGCTGATAATGCAGTGCATATCGACATAATTCTTTTTTTTTTTTTTTAACCAGATATAATGTTGCCATATCTAAATCTGTCCTTGCACTATCCTTTTTGTTTCCTTTCCCACAGGCCACTCATTTTGCAGTGCATCATGAAGAAGAGAAAGATGTGATTACAGGTCTTAAACAGAAAACCTTGTATGGAAGACCTAACTGGGAAAATGAGTTTAAAACCATTGCAAGGCAGCATCCTGGGTAAACCTGTACTTCTTGATAGTGTCTGTCGCCTTTCTCTGTCTGAAAGCTATAATAGCACCATCTTGTTCCTTAGACTGATAACATTTGAAAAGCATTTCTTCTAACAATCTAACAATTTCTAGTTATTTTCTAATATCGGTTCAGCCATGGACATGAACTGTAGTCTTGAACAAATCGTTTTAACCTACAGCTTCAAAAAATTTCATCCATTTTTGGTGAGGAACTTTATGTAGTGTTTGATTACTAGTAGCATTTTTAGAAAAAACATGTCCTGTCTTTCCTGCTGTAGTAGATAGGAATGTCAGTGTCCTCTAAAAATAATATCTGCTTCCTCTAAAGACAAAACATGAACATGGATGGCCTTTGGCTAAGCACCTAAAATTAACAGGAAGAAAATGGAGCTGTTCCTTTCAAGAATTTGTACCATAAGCTTGTTGCGTTTCTATTTCACTGATTCCATTGAGGTCAGTAAAACTGTCTTCACTGACTTCTGCTAAACTGAGACGTAGCCCATCACTTATTTTAGAAGGAGCAGTAAATATCTTGCAAGTTTTAAAGGGTTATAGGTTTTAGAGGAGACATGCAGTTCTACTTTAGTTTCTGTAACTGAGAAAAAACTTTGCAGCTGCAGAACATAAGACTGACTTATATGAACAACACAGAGCTGCTCCATGCTTAGTTCCTGACCATATTTTCATTTTTTTAACAGTTCCAGAATAGGCGTTTTCCTCTGTGGACCTGAGGGCCTAGCTGACACACTCAACAAACAGAGCATCAGCAACTCAGAAGCTGACCCACGAGGAGTACACTTCATTTTTAACAAGGAAAATTTCTAACTCTCAAACACATGAGAGTCATTCAATACAAAATCTAAAGACTAGATTTTTTTTTCCATTTGAAGTCCAGGAAAGACAGCCCAGCTTCCGATTTCAGCTACACTAATGCAAATTCCTTTCCTTCTTTGGAATTATCTTGGCTCTACGGTGGAGTAACAGAGAGTCAAGTTTGGCCTTAGGGTTGCTTGCACTGCCTTCCACATACTGGCAATTTAGCAGAAATATAGTCTTTGTGTGTATGAGGGCATTTCCCCTCAATTAACTGTCTTTATTCTCCTGTTATTTGTAGTGCCTGCTGCAGGGTCTAGGCCAACATGTGCATCTGAGAGTCAGTTCACACTGATAAAGCTTACTGATATTAAACAATAAAGCATTCTAGCAAAATGCTTCCTATTTAAGAGGTAGCTTATCCTCACTACAGAGAGTCCCTGGAAAGTGGGGGGATTTAGTGAAGGGTGAATGGGAAAAATCATTACATATGACAGAGAAGCTGTTTTGCACACCAGCATTTTTCAGTCTTCTGAACGTAAGCTTAAATGTCTTGTACAAGAGACAGAGGGAGTGTACAAGAGAGAGGGAGTGGACAGCTGAGAAGCAGCCATTCCTCTTTAGGAAGGCACAGAACTGAAAAGGAAGCACCTGGATGTCTGAGCCCCTCCAGTTGGGGAGAACATAAGGCTGGAGTCAAACCAAGTCTTGCACTCAATACGTGAGCCATTGCATGGCTGCTTCAGACTCTCCTCTCTCAGTTTCACGTCCTTAAATTCACAGTGCAGGGATCTAAACAAGAAGAGAAACAAGAAAAGATTTTGTATTTTTAGGTCCTCCACTTCTGAGCTTCAAGGTTGAAAAAGCTTGTTGCTAAATGGGTCCTCTATGAAGCACTCGTAAATGTATACAGTGCTTTTGGCCCTGTTCAGCTGTTCCTCACTGACAGCAGTGAGACAGGTTTGAGAAAGCAAAGACTGCGTGGGTAGTAGCTGGAACAGCTATGGATAGAGTTTCTGATTTGCACAAGACAGCCATACAGAGCACAGTACTTCTGGATGTACACTCTAGGCAACAGGTTCATAAGAAAAGGAGCCAATACATGTTTAATATCAGCAACAGAGAAAAAGAAACCATTAAAACCAGCAGTAAAGGGGGGGAAAAAAAGAGAAAAAGATGCAAAAGGCCTTGAAATAGCCACATTGTAATACACTGTGGTTTCCTCAGTCAGTGCCTTCTTGTTTCCTGTTCAGCCCAATTGCCCCAACTGCCTGCCTACTGCCTTCTAAACTCTGCAGCCAAACTCTACACACAGCTCATACACAACACTAGACCGTGCTGTAAGATTCTTACAGTCGAAAGTCTACTTACAGAAGAAAGTGTTGGCCTGCCTATGCAGTTCCAGACATGTTTGTATTACCATCTTGTTGTATGTATTTTACATCCCAACTCACTAGACAGGATGTGTTTTCCATTTATAACATTTCTAAATGTTATGTAACTGCCCCATGCGACTTCAGAAAGACAGTTTACCATTTCGTATGTGTTGTTAGCAGTTCCTGTGAACTGTTAGATGACACTTTCAATTGTGTCAACATCTGATGGGGAGGAAGTCACAGTTGGTAAACACTAGTGAAGATCAACCCTTGGTGAAGGAGTTTTTCAAGTTCTTTCCCTCAAAAGGGCCATATTTGAATCTATATAGTTCTTTTTGAAACACACCTATTAGCTCAGAATAGAGCTTAAGCAGAATTGAATATTTTTCTTTGTCGGAATAAAACTTTTGCTACTGAAACATAATAACGGTCTGACCCTATGCAGAGGGCATTCAAATATTGGCTTTGATTGTAGCGGAAATATGATCAGACTTTCACACTGTTAGAAAGCAGGCAAAGAGGAAGTGCAAGGGTCTAATGGAGAAAGCACATTTACCATCCAAATAATCTTGGGTTTTTTTTTTAATTTTAACTCACTCATTAATTCTCTAAATATTGTCATGTTTCTCTTAAAAATCCTTCCTGACCGAGTCAGTGTTAAATAGACACTCCCTGTTGTACTGTACACTTGTGCTAAGGGTTGTTTGTCACCTTTAACTCAGAGAAAGGAACTCCCTGCTGATTACTAAACCACTGTCTTCTTAATACTTGTAAAATAAGTAGGTGGGAGTTTCTCAGTTTCTTTCATAGGTTTCTTGTATTAATTCCCACTAAAACAGCAAGGCACACCTTATCAGTCATGGTCTGAATATGATTTTTTTTTTGAAACCTAAGATACATGGGTGAAACGGATGGCACTGAAACACAAACATAAGAAAAAGTAAGAACTAGGCCCCATCCTACCTACACTTTAGCAAAGCATGGAGGGCTGTTAGTGGTACTGCTTTAAGTCAATGCTACTGCCTTCTAGGATGGTAAAAGAGTAAAGCCCTTCCTCTAAGCACTTGCCTTCACTATAGAAGCTCCCCAAATCGGTGGCTTAACCAGTAACCCACCCTCGGCACAGAACTCCTGTTGATAAAACATCATTTACTACACATTTATTAGACAGAAAGCCTCTGTCTGTGTTAAATTCTTAGTCTATTGTGGCTATGGCAACACTGCTGCTTCCCACACGGGACACAGAGCGGAGAGTATGGCTGCTACATTCTCTTCACTCACCCTGAGGAGAAGGCTAGGGCAGCAGGCTAGAGGTGAGCTTAAAGGACAGTCCTGTTTTGTGGCCAAATGCCACTGCTTGGAGTCAGATCCTTGCAATAGGCTGGGCCTCTGACAGAAAAATTCCTCCTTCCATATGTTTATTTTGTTTTGTTTTGTCATGGGGAGGGTAGGGAGCAGTAGCTTTCACAATAAACGAAGATTCTTTTGCTTTCAAATTGCTGACGCTGCAGGGCTGCCCTGCAAACAAAGAGCGGCTCCACGCCCTCATTTGAGAAACTGTGCATAGTGTTTAGCAGTTTAGGCAAATTTAACAATTCAGGCAAAGCTGTACGGCACTGTGAGCTTGATGCAGTAGCACTGGCAAGATTTTCGGAAAGGCAGGGACGTCTCAAGGTTGCTCCTGCAGACGGCCAGGGGAAGCTGTGCAAGGGAGAGGGGGATGGCAGAGAATAGTACAAGGCAAGACTTGAGGGAGCCCGGTGTTTCACTGTCAGGGATCAGTGCTGCCCCTAAGCTGTTCCTCTCACACACCTCTGACACTGTCCATGTGCACAGGGGTCCTTGCGTATGCTCCGCAATCATCCGCACTTCCAGTGGGATCTGAAGACTGCAAGTGGCTCTCCCATTAAGGAAATCCTTTTACAGTAACTTTCTGTTCTAGCTCTGCCTCATCAATATAGAGATGACTCTAAAAGATGTAGGAGCCTCTTAGTACAGTTGACAATACCAGTACAAGTACGAGGACAGTCTGTGTGACACACACTGTTGAACTCATGCTGTACCTTAGTTTATGAAGTGGGCTGAAGTCTTCAGGTCTGTCCTCCCATCCAGTTCCACAAATTCCCTATTCATGTGAAAATGCTCTGCTGACTGTAAGAAAAGCCAGTTGGTGCTGGATCAGTAAAATAAATGTTTCAACTAATGGATGCAATTAGGAGCTCAATGCAAAGTGACTGAAAAAAAGAAGTTGGCCTTACTAGTAGCTTCAGCTCAGCATATTTTTCCTTCCCTTCTTATGTAATATTGCCTGTCTTCCCATATCTAGTCATTCCAGTTCACTGTAGTTAGGCTTACAGTTAAAGACGTTGATCCTGAGGGGTGCTGGGCAACTCTGGCTTCCATTGGCCCCATCTGGATCGTAGAAATTGGGAGTGTTCTGGAGCCCCCCACTCTGTATGGCCCCTGGTCAAATAGAGATAATATGATTGAGTGAGACCAGGATATACACGGGGGCTCATCTAGCCCTCTATTCCTTCCCTGGTGCACATTAGTCTGTGCAAAGGAAACTCAAGTTTTCATATTTGGCTCAACAGCCAGCAAAGTGTTAACCTACAGTAAAAATGCTACCCTGCCTGTTCACTGTCATGCATATCAGAGGGGGAAACCACCCTGGTTGCAAAATAGGTCTTCCTCTTTTCAGTCTTGTAAGACTTTCTCTGCTGGGTGGGGACTTTTTGCATTTAAATCCTCAAGCAGTGTGTCAAACAAAATTAGAAAAACAACCCCAAAGCTGCCTGTCAAACACAAAGTATTTTTGAACAAACAAGAAATAACATTATGGTCTCATTATGGCACTTTCTTTCAGGATCATACTCTAATTTGGGATATTCTTAACCAATTAGTTCACAGTTTTTCATTTGTTCACCTTTCAGTGAGTTTTTTTGTAGGATTCATAGAAAGGTGTAAGCCTGACACGTCAAACACGCATGCATACATGTTCAAAGGAAGCTACTAGCATACAGTAAGATGTTCACGATTATAAGCATTTTCAGGACCAGGACTTTCATGTCTGACTGTGCATACCAGTGTCAGTTCCACAGGTACAAGCCAGAGTAGTTAGTTGTCAAGAACCACACACTCATTCTTGCATTTCAAACCAACCTTAGCAACCCACTGGTCTCACTAACATGCCACACACACAGACCCAGTCCACACTAACTGCAATAAATTAGAGCAGGGTGGAAAAGTTGAAAGAACTGTCGAAAGCTTACACACGCTTCCTAGCCCTATTCTGCACTTCCTCTAACCTCATCGCTCCCTTTCTGCTGCTACTCTTCTGCGTGGCTAATTCATGTGTCCCTGCTCACTCAGCTACCACATATTCCTCTCTGTTCCTATCAAAATTCTACCGAACGCTGCTTTTCCACCACAGCTCACCCACTCCTTCCTGCTTCCCAGCTCCACAGCTTTCCTAAAGACTCTCTAGCTCCCTCAGTCTCTTTGCTGATTTCCTGAGTGCTTGTGCCCACTGCAGGGCAAGCACAGGGAAAGGCAAAGTGGGGGATGGAGCTCAGAGCTCCAACCAGCACTATGCGCATCTCATACAGTGTGATTCATCTGCAGCCTCCCTGTCACTATAAATAGATCAGGGCTGTACCCACCTCTGCATTGCCCCAGCAGACTATATTTGCTCCTCTGCTGTAAAATGCCCTCCCCGCCCTTAACAACTGATTCTTATTTTAAAGTCTGCAGCGTAGGAAATTTATCAGCTGCTCTCTTCTAATATCTCAGCATGTATGGGTCAAATTCTGTCCTACTGTAAAATATATCTGGATTTGGCCGTACATTTCATTTGCATTGTGCAGAAATGAGGGGGATGGCCAAAGAACTCATTCCCACCCTAAACACACAGACAAAAACACCTATCCACCCTGCTGAGCATTGCAGTAGAAGAGAGAGGGAGCGAAAGGCTAGGCAAGGAGGAGTCAGCCCATCTCTCTCCCTTGGAACAGATGCTTTATAATTTCAGAAACAAGATACAGAGCAAACTGCTCTGCAAATAGCTCTTTGGTTGATTTTTTTTTAACTTTTCAAAGAAACAAATGTAGATCAATTGGCATTAAGATGAGAAACTACAAAAACATCATTCATCACGAGTTTAATGACCTTCAAGACATCTGGATATTTGTGAAGACATCTTCAGTCAAGCAACCTTTGAAGTAAAGCATAGATGCTTCTTATGCTGATGTCTTATGCTGATTGTCTTTCTACACCCATGTGAGCTATACTTGACATTAAAAAAGTCCAGGGTCTTCACTGTGGCAGTATAGGTTTTCTCTTAGAATGCTGGAGATCACTGAGAAAATTCAGGTTAAATTTTCCTCAGCATCAGTTGGTGCAGAAATGATGCAGGGAAGAACTAGGACAGGGCAATTGCCATCATCTCTTTGCAGTTAACAGGCCAAAAGGTAGTGTTACACCAGGGCATTTGGGCACAGCAAGAGCCCAGTTTCATATTATAGACTCGCCACCCTTCTAAATTGACTTCGGAGATTTTCACGCCATGTGCTCAATACCCAGAAGCTATAGCAAACTCCGTGCAGGACAGTCTACTGCTGGCCAAGTTCCCATGAACAGCTAATGAGGACAGCTGCTGACGTGGTATTGTCACCTTGACTCTGCCTTTTTCTCCCACCTCCTTTCCATCTATGGTAACCAATGCTAGGTCAAGCCAGTCTTCAGGTGGTAAGTTCACACAAGCCCTCTGAGATTTGAAACCTGCTCAGACAGCAGCAAGGAAATAATCAGAAGTGACTGTCGCACCAGTTGTGAGAAACACTTTCTAGAACCACTTCCCTTGAGGATACAGATAGAGCCCTGCAGACCATCAGCAGCTATCTTCTGCTCCAAAATTATGAATGGTCCCGGTGTCTATTAGCATTTCATTAGGCCTAATCCTTTGTACTAGGACTGCACATGGTTGAGTAAAAATGTGAATAACTTTCCATCATCATTGTGTGTCTTACATGTGCATAAATTAACACACCCAATAGCAAAGGATTGATGCTACAAAATGTTCCCCTAAAAGCAGTCTGTAAAGGACAGTAAGATGGGCTGCAATGAAATACGGCTTACAGAACATGCATATTACAGAATGTGTACTATTTTCCATTCACTTTGCAGGAAACCTCTAAAGATAGTCTCCACCACAGTTATTGCTGAGTCCCTTCATTGCTTTTTCATACCCTCTGAGGCAGGCAACAAAGCTGGTGTTGTAAACATAACCAAGTAATTTTGCCTGAAGTTAAAATCATTGTTATTGTTAATTAAATTAATGCTCAATGCTTTTTATGCTCTAAATTCTTCTCTGGGGGAAGTTAACTTTAAGTTAGTAGGTATATGGTTATCAGCGATGGACCAGATAGAAGATCTCTGTAGCAGCACTTGAGAGGGATATAAGTGTGCAAGATTCTTCAAGTCAGAAAAAGAGAACAGTAGTAATCAGTAAGGGAGCTAACGAGAGCCCATATATGAATTTTGGCTTGTGAGACTGGATAGGAAGACTAGCACTGTCAATGCTGAAAAAAAAAAAAAAAGAGCACTTCTCAGACTTAGTCAGGGGATGAGAGATACAGTTATGAAAATCTAATGGGTACATTTACATTTATCAGTCAATAAAGCAACAGCAACTAGTCCCAAAACCAAGAAAATGATGAAAATCTTCCTGTTACTTTCAACATTTGCAAAGACTAACCCATTAGGATGACCACTTCCCCTTCAGCAGTAACAGATGTTTCCTTGTCTCCTTATTTAGCTAATGTCCACAGTTATTTAATTTGTTTCAATATGCTGGGCATTCCCTTCTCCCTCTACGGATGGAAGAAAACACTGTTCATTGCTAGTTAACAGGGATAGCTTTTGCATTTGGTAACCCACAAGGCAGCTGTATCAGTAGCAAAAATACCGCTGGAGTGAACTAGCATGCTGCTGTCTTACGTGCTGATTAAATATTTACTTCTATCAAGGCAAGTGTCCATGCAAAATGTCGCACAGGATGGGCCCTTGTGTCCCTTGTAAATGCCACACAAGCTGCAAAGGAAACCTCTCACTTTGTTTGCCTCCTTCTCCACTCAGCCCCAGAGAACTCTCATCTTTTAAAAGAATAACCAAAATAATCTCTCGCTAATGTAACTACCAGCCCTTCTCCTTCTTTTTTCCGTCTCTTACTGAAAAAGTATTTTATACTATCGCTGATGGGTGGGTGTCACATTTTCATCTTAAATCTCCTCTGGTCTGACTTCTAACACAGTGCAACTCTAAAAATGCTGTGGCTAAAGTTTCTAACTGTGCAGATCCCTAACCCTCTGTCCTCATTTTCCCTGACGTACCAGCTGGCTTCAACACACTTAGCTACGATCTTCTTCGGAGATCTTGGTCTCCCTTGACTTTGGTACCAGTGACATCCACATCACTAGGTTACCCCATGCATTGTGCTTGCGCTCCAATCCCAGCTCCCTCATCATCCATGCCACCTGCACACTGTCTCAGACACTGGCTGAAGTGCAAGTCAGCTCATTTATTGGGCAGGAGAACTTGGACACAGGAAAGACAACATGGCCTGAACTCAATCCATCTCACCAGGGCCACTGTGACTGCAGATGGCTTGAACTGTGGTATGGGTGAACTCCTGCAGATGCACAGATTCTCTGCATTTCTCACCACTGCTTCAACCTCAAAGCTGCTAAAAGAAGAGCTCTTCATCTAGAACCTTCCTCTTCCACCCTTTCTTTCACTGACTGGGAACAAAGCCAGTAATTCGGAGATATCTTTGAGTCAGACGTTCTAACATTTCATCCAAGACAGACATGCAGATATTTTTCAGCATAACAGTTTTGGGATGCTGGCCTTCCTATCCAGCCTCTCAAGCCAAGATTCACATATAGGCTCTCATCAGCTCACTGCTTGATTGCTGCTGTTTCTTCTCCTACAGCCTCGAGAACCTGTCTTCATTTATATCCCTCCCAAATGCTGCTACACGGATCTTACCTCTAGTCCATTAGTGATACCTGTACATCTTCCCTTTGCTCCCCCTCCTCCACTGTAACAAATACACTCAACTCACATTAGCTTCATAACTGTTTATAGCCCACCTCCCATCTGCCTTCAAAAGCAGGAGCTGGAAATCCTCTGCTCCACCAGTTCATGGCGCCATCCTCCCATTCCCATTTTTTTAATTATCAACAAGCAGCCCTTGATGCTCTGATCACTCTTAAGAGAAATTTCCCCCAAACCTCTACCATGCTACCTCATTACCTGCTTCAGATACTTCCTTAAAACTCTACTGTTCTGCCCATGGCTAGGCTGCCAGCTGTTTTCACCAGTTTTCCATAGTCAATCAAACTGCATTTAGGAACATGAGCCAAAACCACCAACCAATTTCTGAGCCAGCTCAGCTGTGCTCCAATCAATGCAGATGCTACTACACTCTCCCAAGAACCTGCTTGTCCCTGCTGAGTCTGCCAGGAGGCTCTGTCACCTCCTCTCTTCCCTATTCCAAATCCTCTCTTTCCATTTCCATTTCTGGAAATGGAGCCACTTTCTGGCTCCATCCACATACTTTCTGTCCTGATCTTGAGACAACTGTTGGCCTCAAATTCCTGTCTTGGACAATTGATTTTATTGCTTGTACTGCTTCTTTGCTTTCCTAGGCTTGTCTGCCTCCATCCAGTGCCTCTTGTCTTTGTAGTAAAATAGCAAGTTTTTCAGACAATGCCTGTGCTTCCGTTTTACGTTTGAATAACATCCAGCATAGCGGGGCACTGCTCCAAAATCAGTGCTTCTCGGCAATGCAGTGATAATAATAGCAATAATAATAATAGTTATTATCTTGGAGAACCAGGTTTGCACTTTCCAACTGCTACTGTTTGGGTAGTTCTCAAATTAGGTTTTCAAAACGATTTATTTTTCTCCTGTTTTCCTAAAGAAATGAGATAGGAGCTGGAAGAAGGAATAGATATGGAAAAAGGGTGAGACAGAAACCAGGTTCTGTAAATTCTGCTGCTCTTCTCAGGGTTGGCCCTATATTTTGGAGTTTGTCTCTCATTTAAAGCATCTGCCTATGTGAAAAAAAAAATATGGACATCTGTATTATTTCTTAAGTTTCTGTTTCAGCCATTGTAACTGTCCCTGCTCCCTTACACTGCCCTCTTCTTTGTCTTTCTCTGTTTCAAGTTTGGCTAATAAGTGAGAAAACACGATGCAAATTTTTATGACATTGTGCAGCCCCTTGACCAGCTCCAGTGGCTCAATGAAGGAGTTTGGCAATTTATATATCTCAGGTCTGCTCTGTTTTTTGCTTCCCCAACTTTTGTACAGTATGAGTACGTATCACTACTGTTGGGCTACAAAACATGAATGGCAGTCCTGTTTGTATTCTCAAGAGAAAGTATTTTTAGTAGCAGCAACACTGAAATTAAAAGTATGTCATACATAGCTACGTGCGCTTATAAAAAATCATATTTTTATGAAACCCAAGGCAGCACTTTTTAATCTTTCTCTGTTACACAGACATTACACAGAGAATACAAAAATAGCTGTAGTCAGAAGACGCTTCCCAGCATGTGTGATTGTAACAGAAACAGCTCTGAGCAACTTCTGCAATAACTCCTGACTTTCCAGTAGGGAAGTAAAAAGAGTATCTGTGGGGTGTCTGTAGGCTAGGAATGACAGCGGGTTTGCAGTCTTTCTGCAGTTTGTCTCATGTTTCCTGTACAGTATGAATTCTCTGAAAACATACGTGTCGAGAGGAGTGGCATAACCATAGCTTCCTGATATTATTTTGTAATAAGGCTATGTATCATTATTATTACTTTTAAAAGTATATTCTAGGTGCTTTCATCTTGGCTCTCTTCCATGCAGGCGCATAGACAAGATGCCAGTGAGTGTTTGTGTTTGATTTCTTTCCAATAATGTATTTTTCCAAGACTGCTCACTGGTCCAGGAAGGCGTTCCTGCGATCAGTGACGCTTCCTGCGGGTGGTACTAAATGGTCCCTCAGCCAGGCTTTATTAGGCATGTCAACCACGTTCACAGAGGCAGCAAACAAGAACCCTCAGCCAAGTCACTGCGATTACCTGCGGGGGGGGGGGGAGGGCCGCAGGGGACCTTCCTCCTCCTCCTGCTTGTCAAACGTCAAAAAACTGTAAACGCAATGACACTGACACGGCAGAAAGGAAGAAAAAAAAAAAGCGGCTTTTATAAAGGGTTTGATGCTATCAAAAACATACATGCAGGGCTAGCAATAATACCGACAACAACGTTTTCCCATTACGGCAACCTGTTTTTCACATGTAGCCCAACCTAACCAGGCTGCCTTCTGTTTCCGAAAGCACCTGCCCGTCCCAGCTTTCCGTTGCGGCTGAGCTGCCCCACCTGGAGGGAGGCGGCCAGACCGCAGCTGCCCGCCCGACACCCCGCCTCCA